TATTATTATTATTCCCTCACTGGGGGCTGAGCCCCCCTAAAACGAAAATCGTAGAATCGCCCCTGGGTGGCGGGATAGTTGCATATGAATTATGGAAAACTGATACATTTTCATAAATACCACCATCTGTCTTCCCTCCACAACGGGACTGTATTCTTTAAATAATCCCAAAAATCGCAACCCACGAAATTTGATTTAGTTTTATAAGCCGCTCATAAAAAGAGGACATGGCAACGCTGTTTCTCGACTTTGTATTTTACTTTACCTTGAGATGCTGCACAGCTGCCGACTGTCGGAAACCAACAGCATTACAAAAATGGTTGTTGTTTCTGCCCCGAGAATAACGAAAATGATTTACATAAGTTAATATTATTCATGCTAAATTTCTTGACGAATAAAAAAAAATATTTAAATATTAAATATTTTTTTCTGAAATGATTTTAATAATTATTATTCTTTTTTATTTCTATACTATCTGTAAATAGAACAAATAAGAATAAATCGGCATTTGACATTTTGAAACAGCTCTTCAAGAACTTTTATTTTGAAGTAACGACTGTCGCTCTTGTTTCCCATAATTCAGAGAGGCAAACAAAAAGCCTCTGGTCGCGTCTTAATATCATTAAGTCATAAATAACAATAATTATCTTGAGGGATTTTTGAAACATAGTTGTTATATTCCTGCGCACTTCAAATTCACTGTTTCACATGCTCAGCGTAAATGAATTGAGCTGTTGTAAGGTAAGGGATGGTAAAGCGCATCTGCACCTGCTAGCAGAATGACTGTGTTTGAACTACTGAAATAACAGGCAGATGAATTCCAGTCCACATTTAATTATACATTATATACAAACTTTGCAAATGTGATCAGTACCAAACCAGTGGTGGAATCATTTTCCTCTATTAAAACTCTTTAAAATAAATGCAACTTAGCTTTTAAAATAGTTTGCCATCGTGGACATTTGATTTTCAATGAAACATGCTGAACAGCATTGTAATATGTTGTATATATTTGTAATATGCATATATTGTAATATGGAAGGTTGTAATATTGGTCTTTAGATTGCATAGACCTACACTACCAGTAACAATATTACCAGTAACGGATACACTTTGCCGAATTTATATCTTCATGATCTTAACAATGTTTTGATCTTAAGGCCTATGCTTGAAATAATTAAATTTTTTTAGACATAAAAATTTTGCCTATGTATAAATGTATTTTATAGAGTGAAAAATAGTAAAAAATAAGTGGTAACACTTAATAAGGTCTATTAGGTTACAGTATTTAATAATCTATAATTGTTAACAGTTAGTAAAAAAAAAAAAAAAACTGTTCATTGTTAGTTCATGTGAGCCCAGATCAATTGAACATTTACAAAAACAACTTTTGATTTTAATAACGAATGTATTAGTATTAAAATGTTATTATTATTTGTTTTTACTTCTAGTTTAGACTACATCCACAGCTGCAGCTATACTTTTGAAGTGAATAGCATCCCTTTCCTCCTTCCTTCTACTTCATAATTAAATAATCATCAGTATCTTACCTTTGCTTTTTGTTCAGGATGTGTTCTCATAGAGATCCACGAGGAGCATGTCACTGATCCTGTTTGCCTTTGTTGTCCGGGTCAGGGATGGACTCCCTCTCTCCGCCTCCACTGATTTCCTGCATAATAAGGAACTTCAGGAGAGAAAGCAACAGCTGAAAGTGATCTCAAAATCCCTAAGTTCATTACCAGAGAGAGGGACAGTCAAGGGCCATGAGCTCAACATTCAGTAAGTGCACTATTGTAGACAATAATGTCATAGGCCATAAATATATTTTCACGGCCATGAAACTGCAAAAACGGGCAGTTGCTTCTACTGCAACAACTAAACATATTTAATAAACAAAAAATATTTGTAGCCATATTAAATTAAAGGCAATCACTGCATTTTAATCGTGATACAAAGAAAGATGCTACACACATGTATGAGCAGTTTTTGTACATGCAGGCATTGTACATAATCGACCAGTCGTGGCATATGATAAGGTGGGATCTACAGAGAACGGTGAAAGCGATGCAAATATGCGTACATATTAGGTGTGTTCGATCGCTCGGTGTTTGACATCAAAGTACCGTGAGAGCGATTCAAAAGCATAAGGAGTCTGCTCTCTGTAGCTCTGATGGTACTTTGGTGTCATGCACCGATCGGTCTGCGCAGTGCTGCTTCAAGTCGAAAGCAAGTATGAAAACAGAAAAACAAAGCCAAAACCTGGATATTTTAGGCAATATAGAAATCCTGGCCAGGTATGTTTCAAAAGAGCACGTATGGTCACCCTACATTATAATGAGAAGTATAAATACATTTTCGGTTTATTATGAAACTGGCGGGACAGATTCAGGGGTCACCATACTTGGTCCTGGAGGGCCGGTGTCCTGCAGAGTTTAGCTCCAACTTGCCTTTTATTTTTAAAGGTGTAGATCCTTTCAATTACACTGTTTCAGTTACATTCTATACACTGAAAAAAGGTTCTTTAGATTTTAAAATGTTCTTCACACTTAGAAAAAAAAGAACTATTCACTAAAAGGTTATTGGGGAACCAAAAATTGTTCTTCTTCTGTTCTGGCATTTCTCAAAAAAACCTTTATTTTTATGAGTCTATTTATGAATTTATCTTTAAAAAGTAATATTTATATTAATTTGTTTACTTTTTAAAGAATAACAATCATCAATACATTTGTATTTATTAATCTTTAGTAATGTTAGTTAATAAAAATGGAACCATCCACTCTTAGTTCTTCGTTCACAACTTTTGAAATCATGAGATGCATGAAAATAAAGGGGAATATAAGTGGATCAAGTGTTGCCATATCAGATACACGAATGATTAGAATCTTGTTTACCTGCATTAAAAGAGTCCAAGATAAGCCAAGGAAATTGGTGGCCGCCCTGTGAAATCATTTGTTAACTAATTGGTCTCTGTGTTGTAGCTTCCTCTCAGCCGAGGGTGTGTCCTACATGACCGTATGTGCATGCAGTCTCCCTGCTGCCACGGCCTTCTGCTTCTTGGAAGACTTGCGCTGGGAATTCACAGCATGCTTTGACAACCCTGCAGTGGCCCTGGCAAGCAGGCCGTACCCCTTTCTTGAGTTTGGTAGGATGACAGATAAAAGTGATTGGATTAGGCATTAGATGAGTTATGGGTGTCATTAATACGGCATTTAAACCATGAATATGCAAATTAAGATAAGTCATAAGCTGAGCATGAGTTTGTCTGATGGTTTTATTTCAGATAGTGCCATTCAAAAACTTCAGCAGCATTATAATCAGAAAGGGGGTCCATCTCTGGAGGTCACCCTGGCCGAAGTACAGGAAGACCTCAGAACCAGCCCCCCTCAGGTTCTCACCATAGAGGACATGGCACTCACCAATGGAGCAGCCAATGGGCATGTAGAACAAGCAGCTGCATCAGGTTTGCTGTAGTTTGATGTCAGTGAATTCATAAGGGCCGCGTCTTAAGTTGGACATATGTTTTGACTGATTATTGATCTTTTTTGATTTTAAAGGTCAAGGTCAGAGATTGGAACCAGTCTCAGCACCAGGGATCCTCTCACTGGTTCTTAACATCATGTGTGCTGCCCTCAACCTTATACGTGGTGTCCATCTTATTGAATACACCTTCCAGGTAACACTATGGTTCAAGATGTTAATTTGGGACAGAACTATCTTGATTAGAGATATGGATGATTATGGATGATTACTGATAAATGGCCAAATTTAAATTCTTATACTATTTTGTCTAAATAAAAAAAATCTACTTGTTAAATGCTGCAAGTGAATTTAGCCATCACAACTTAATAAATTACATTATGATTTTTTTTTTTTGCTAAAGATTATGTTTAACAGTCCTTAAAATATTACTGTTTTTAAACTTAAGTGAGCATTAGATGACAAAGGTAAACTAAATGTAAAATTAAGGCATGCACAATTAAATATCCAATATCGGCCCATACATACCTACATATGTATACATATATATGTGTGTGTGTGTGTGTGTGTGTGTGTGTGTGTGTGTGTGTGTATTTTTCTGAATTATATATTAATATATAAAATATTTTGCTTTTTAATTGATCACTTATTTTATTAATTTATCACTAGCAGCATGTGTCTGCAGGACTAGGTAGGTAATTACAGCTTAGGTAATTATACTTTTTGAGATGGAGGACGTTCATATCTTGTCTAGGGCTTCAGAATCAGCGCAAAATGTTCCATTTCTTCACCTGCAAAACTTTGTTGTTTTTGTTGACTAAAACTTTAAAAGTCATTTTCGTTAATCGAAAAATAGATGAAATAAAATTATTACTAATTGAGCTAACTGAAATAAAATGGTTGAAGTTGAAGTACTAAAATAAAAATAAATGAAAGCTAAACAGAAATATTTAAACATTTAAAATATAAAAAATACATATGACAAAAGCAAATAACAAAATTACTAAAACTTAAACTAAAATTAAAATGAAAATTGAAATTTAAAAATAAAAACTAATTCAAATTATTTAAAAAAATATTATAATAGTATATTAATAATAGTAAAATAAAACTGGTGCAAACTCCCAATAATAACCCCTGAGACAGATATGTATATAGAGGTAATTAAGTTTATTATAATTAAGTAATAAAGTTTTTAAATTATGATATGAGAAGTATTTTACAGTATCATTATGATGGTTTGTGGAATGCGGTGGCATCAATTTTTATTATAATGAATTAAGTGATTAAATGTCTTATATATGATACGACGATTTTTTTACAGGATGATTATGATGGTTTGTGAAATGTGGTGTAATTAATTTTATTGTAATTAATTAAGTGATTAAATGTCTTATTTATGATATGACCCAATTTTTTACAGGATGATTATGATGGTTTGTGGAATGTGGTGGCATTTCTTTTGGCATTTCTTTGCTGTGTTTGCCAGGTAAATTGTATTACTACTCTGCATGTAGCATAAAAGATGATGCATTTGTAATATTTAATGTTTCCATTTATAACACCATCAAATGCACATCATGTCCGTTTAAGCGTCTAACTCAGATCTTTATCTCCTTCCCACACAGTGTCATCTGTACTTGTTCCATACCTGCCAGAAGAAGCTGAAATCCTTTACTCTCCTGACTCTCATCATCTTATGCAATGCTTTTCTCTTTGGCCTGAGGAACATCTGGCAGCTGGCCTTCCACATGTCCGTGGCCTGCCTCTCCACGCTGCTCACCCTCCACCGCAAACTGCTGGACAGGAACATGGACTGCGGAGTATGAGGAGGATTTCAGCTGGCCGTGGATAGCAGTAGGGTGAGAGACCAAAAGAATGGACGAGACTTTACATGTGACCTGGTGGCTGACGTAAACTGACATTGATTTTCACTTTAGCTTTTGCTTTGATCTAATGTTATGATCAAGTGCTTATTTAGTCTCACATGGATAGTGAGTGCAATGGCTTTTCTACAGGGGTCTTCAATTCCACTGATGCATTTCTGAAATTTTTAATGACATATTGTGAATGTAATATGGAGAAATTGATAAAACAGACATGAAGTAAGCATTTTGTTGGTTCTAAAAGTTAATTTAATTTTATTTATTTGCTGCAAAATAAGAATACTTATTGTTTAAGCGAATGTAAACTGTTAATCTTTGTTTACTTTTATGTAGGCAGGCTTTTTTGTCCGTTTAATTGTTATAAAGCTATAAATGCATATATATTGCATATAAATAACTAAAAGTAGGCATAAAAGTGACTTCGGGTGATTCTTGGTTTTGTTTCAATATCAGGCATTTTAGGTTATGAAGGATATTTAATCAATAACTATTTCAAGTCCTTTTGAACATGATTTTTTGATTTGTCGATTAGTTAGTAATGGGCTACTCCACAATACATTAATTTTTTGTATTATATTAGTACAATAATTTGTATACAAAGCACATTCAGATTGTTCAACTAGTTTTATGCCATTTTTTTCCCACACAAGGTAATTTTGTCTAGCCTACCTTTCTATAATATTCATCCCAAAGACTATAAATTAGAAATAATGTCAACAAATTATCATAATACAGCAATCATTCATCAAGTGCTAAAGAATTGTTAGTCCACATCTGTTTTCTTAACCAAAAAAAAGGTAATTTCTAAACAATATTTTTTTTTGTCAGCATACATTTTAATTATGATTTACAGAGCTTTGTTCACATATTAATATGTAATTAATTTGCACTAATATTATTCTTCATGAAATAGACAAAAACCACTAGACCTTTTGTTTGTTTATTTTGCAGAAGACAGTATTATAAAGCAATAAGTTTGAGTAAATTTAAAATTAAGTTCATTTGGTTTACATACATTTTTCATTAATTATGTTTAAAACAATAAGTATGCTTCATCATGTTATACTGACACAGAATAGGAAGTTTGTACACTGCATTTCTGTTTATTGCAAATGTCATGAACTTCAAGCAGTCAGCATGGAATAATCCGTTAATCTGGAATATTTTTATGCAAGTAATAAGCATAGATATAAATATCTGAACTATCACGAAATTCCTGAATTGCAAGCAAGCTGTGCTTCTAAATGGTTGGTGCAGAGTTGGCAGAGTAGCAGCAGCTTGCATCTAAAGTTTTTGTCTAGGATAACATTTAGTTCTGTGGTAAAGCTACAGTTTGTTAATGTCAATGTCTTATTACACAGTATGATCACAGATAGCTAAACTGAGGAGTGAGAATGTATGTATGATGAAAGTGTGGAAACAGTAGCAAATGTACAGTAAATCTAATGCTAATTGTAATAGTAATGAAAGGGCACTGTTTCTGTTGACTGATTTTTAGGTTTTCTTCGCAGGATAGCATAATACAAAAAAAATAAAACAACATGTTCTGATCTGTGATAATGGTTTCTTACACAATTTTAATGAGGGTTGCTGAAGTCACAGTGGTGCCCTCAGCATTTTAAATTGATACATATTTACTCACTCCTCGTATAATACATGGAGTACTGTGTTTGTTGAATCTATGAGATATGTATTTTTATAAGAATAGTTTTTCATGTTGTAGATAAGATTGAATGTTTAGTTACACAAATGAGAGAACCTGTATTTAGATTAATTTGATCTCTTGCATTTGTGACTCATTGTTTTTTAAAGCTCGTGTCAGTGAACTGTAATTGGTGCTGGAGGTTATTACTTATGCACTTTTATGCTTAGTAATAATGAAAGCTTGAGACCAGTATTGTCTTACATCAACCTAAATTTGATGATACATGCATTTAAAACTTTTTTTTTAAATCAAGGACTATGCCAATTTTGTCTTTAACAAGTGATTCTGCTTAATGGACAGAACCACTTTTTTTTTTCTTTTTTCAGATATACATTTGAATTGGTTTTGTTTAACTGGAGTTGAACTGCTCTTAACTTCAACCAACATGAACCTCCGGCAACCAAGTTAGAGTCTTTTAAATAGTGAGCAGTTATGTGAGAATTATTCTGTGGAAACCTGTTTCCGCCACAGAGAGAGAGAAAAAAAAGTTTATTGCGACTTTTTAACTAACAATTCTGACTTTCTTTTCTTGCAATCAGAATTTAAATAAAATTAAACTCAGAATACTGAGAATACTGAGAAATTCTAGAAGAGAGTCGGAATTGCAAGATATAAACTTGTTTCTGCCACGTAATAAAACAGGTAATTATTCCTTTCTATCTCACAATTCACTTTTTTTTCTTGCAGTTCTGAGTTTTTATCTTGCAATTTTGGGAAATCTGAGAAAGTATGAGAAAAAAAAAATCAGAATTCTGAGAACAAAAGGTCAGTAGTTTGAGATAAAAACTCAAATATTTTTTATTTGATACATTTTATCCCGTGGTGGAAACAAGCTTCAATATTATTCCCTTGTTGCAACTTGTTTGTTGCTAAAACATATAGACATTTAATAAATCAACAGCTGAACATAAGAACTGTGTGTTTGTCTTATTTGACTGTTGGGCCAAAAGATTTGCTTAAGCATTTTCACTGTTTGAAGTGGTGTATACGTTTATATTTTTAGATAGAATAGAATAGAATAAGACAACCTAGAATAGAATTAGACAACTCAAAAGTGATTTTTGATAAATATCCTGAGAGTTTTCAAAGTCATGTTGACAGAACAGTTTTATTACTCTTTGTGAATGAAGCTGAAACAACTTGTTAGAAAGTCTCATGAAAACATTAGATTGTGCTTTACAGTTTATAACTAAGGTTGTCAGTGCAAAATAATGAATGATTCAACGGATGTTCTAAATGGCTCAAAGCTTTTAAATTCAAGCCTTTCAGTTTTTCTGTACTGTAGTTTTCTTGCAATTTTATCTACTTTCTAATTCAAATCTAAGTGCTGTTTCTCTTCATTAAAAATTACAGAATTCTCAGTAAATGATACAGACTTTGTGCATGTTTTGGTTTCAAAGCAATTGTAGTAATAGCTTTAGTGCATTAAAATAACAGCATTCGGAAGAACACGTTATTTGATGTGTTTTCTAAAGCAACAGTTCTACAATTAGATCTTATATCTTTTAGTATTATATATATAATGATTCATGTGTCTATAAACATTCATATCAGATTATGCTTGTAAGGTTGTACTATATGTGTCAGAACATTAGGTGGCAGTATATAACTGGTTTCTATTGGCTGAAGGAGCTGTGTACATTATGCATGTTATTGAATAGGTCAAATTCAACAATAAAAAGGTCAGATGTTCCTTGGGTTCACCTTGCAATGCTATACTGATTTGAGAGAAACTTTTTTTTTTTTTTTTTT